GCTCTGGTTAAATGTTCCTGCTTTAAGAAAACCGTTAAATTGCGCTTTTTATGTGCTACCTGGGCACTATAAATATTTATTTAAAATTAGATCAAAGGAAATTGTAATGGTATTGAATGTTTATTAATTACTATTTCAAAAATACATAATACATAAACATAAAAATGAAAGTGATGGGGAAATAGGTCGATCATACTTTTGTAACCCCGTCTGTCGATATATATATATATATATATATATATATATATATATATATATATATATATATATATATATATGTATCCATGCCCTGATGTGGGGCTGGGGGGTGTGTCGACATGGTCGGGACATAGAACGGGGTTGTCACATTGAGGGCTAGGAGGAGTTTAGGACCCAAGATGCAGATTACCCCAGATGGCATGAGGCAGGAGCAGTTTAAAAGTAAATCCTTTTATTTAGACGAGGATCGAAAAATCCAAAAAGGGCAGGAAGCCAAAAATCAAAGTCCTGAACAACAGGAGAACGAAAGCTCACTTAGAGCACAAAACCTGGAGACAAGAACAAAAGCTCACTTAGAGCACCAAACAACGCTGACACAACAATGGACCGACAACAGACAGAAACGCAGACAGGGTTAAATACACTGGGGCATGATGGGAGGCAGATAGGCTGCAGGTGTGTGGGGAGAGGATCCAAGTGAAAGCAATTAACTAATCAGGGAGGAAACTAACATGACCTAAGAGTAAAAAACCTAAAGACAAGATGAGCACGCAAAATAAACTACTATTCTAGGGGAAGGGAAACTACAAAAACCTGTGGGAAAACATACTAAAGAGACTAATAAAATGAGAAGCTGAACCTATAAAAACTGCAGAGGGATGACTGGGGAAGACTGAAGGAACACAGGACCTGGGAGGGATGATCTAGAGGACTGCAAAACAGGAGACACATGAGGAACACAAAGAGACACATAAAGAGACACAGACAAGGACACATGCAGGCGCTAGGAGACACAAAAGGAGAACCTAGAGAGGGATGGAGAACACAAGGAGACACATGAGGGGAGACGCAGACGCAGACCATGACAGGGGTGCACGGCTAAATAAGTTTGGGAACTGCTGTTCTAACTGAATTCCTGAAATGAGCAAGTAGTTAAATCTGGTATGATACCTGAATCCCTGTAAATGCATTAACATGAACAGTCTTATTCAAATAAATAAAAATTTAATTAATTTATATTTAATAGAGAGCCTCATTTTTTATAGTTTATTTAGTAAAATTATTCCCAGACTCTCAGACTAAGAAAATACCTTCAGATTCAGCACAGGCCTCTAATTAAACCACTTATTTGTAAAAATGTTATTTTGGTCACAAGAATTTAATTCATTCATTTGATTCGGAAAAGGGTAGAATGCCTTCTCCAGGTCAGGGATGAGGTCCTGCCCCAAGTGGAGGAGTTTAAGTATCTCGGGGTCTTGTTGACGAGTGAGGGAAAACTGGAGCATGAGATCGATAGGAGGATTGGTGCTGCATCTGCAGTGATGCGGGCACTGTTCCGGTCTGTCGTGGTGAAGAGAGAGCTGAGTCAGAAGGTGAAGCTCTCGATTTACTGGTCGATCTACGTTCCTACCCTGACCTATGGTCATGAGCTTTGGGTAGTGACCAAAAGAACGAGATTGCGGATACAAGCGGCCGAAATGAGTTTTCTCCGAAGAGTGGCTGGGCTCTCCCTTAGAGATAGGGTGAGAAGCTTGATCATCTGGGAGGGGCTCGAAGTAGACCCGCTGCTCCTCCACAATCAAGAGGAGCCAGTTGAAGTGGCTCAGGCATCTGGTCAGGATGCCTCCTGGACGCCTCCCTGGTGAGGTTTTCTGGGCACGTCCAACCGAGAGGAGACCTAAAGGTAGACCCAGGACACGGTGGAGGGACTATGTCTCTCACCTGGCAAGGGAGCGCCTTGGGATTTCCCCGGAGGAGCTGGCCCAAGTGGCTGGGGAGAGGGAAGTCTGGGCCTCTTGCCTTAGGCTACTGCCCCCGCGACCCGACTCTGGATGAGCTGATGAGAATGGATGGATGGATGGATGGATGGATAGATGGACGGGTGGATGGATGGATGGTTTTCATTCAGACATCAACTCATAAAAACTTGAAATATGAAATGATTACAAAATTACATTTGTTTAATTAAAAGTGAAGTTATTAATGTGTTATTTATCAGAGACACAATCCCTGGTTTTTGTGCCGACTGCAGCAGCAGGCTGTAGAAACCTGCCTGTGATACGTAAATAAAAAGTGCACCTCCATACCTGAATACGTTCCTGTGAGTAACGATAACAAACCCTACCCCTTGACTTAAATCTTTCCCGCTGACCCTAAGTTTATAAAGGAGGTCAAACCCAGATGGAACAGAAACATGAAGACACCATTCAAACTGGCACCTGTCTATTTTACATTAAAGACCTTGTCTGCTTTATGAATGGAACTAGTTTACTGTCGTGTGAAAATAAAACAAAGCCAGTACTGCTGTGTGGTTTTATTATTATTTATTTAGTATTCCTGGTGATTGATTGTGACTCTTTGTCTCTCCATCACTAAGCGGCAGGGCGGTTATTATTCTGAGAGGGTTTGCCGTCATTAATACCCATACACTCTGATCACGAGCCACAACAAGCATCAAATTGTGCAGCTAATTATCTCATTCGGGGTCAGTGACACAAAACCAGTGGGATGATGTCCGCCAGTGGCCAACGCCGATGTTCTGTAATCGGAGGCTTATTGCTCTTTCTCCTCCGTCACTCTTCACTTCACCCTGCTCTTTAATTGTCCTCCTTTTGTCTTTCAGGTCTTTCTGGCAATGATGTCTCCTCAACAGACGCAGCAGCTCCTGTCACCCGACCAGTTGCAGGTTCTGATCCAACACAAGCAGCAAGCCCTTCTGCTCCAGCAGGTAGACACTTTCATACCCAAACAAACTTTATTTACAAATTATTGCTAATGTCATCTAATCTGAAAGTTATGGGATTATAAGTTGTTGCAACAGAATTCGTTGGTAAGAAATAATCAGTTTTACTAAAATTATTTTTGCCTTCAGTTATTTAATTATAATAATGTCTTTATTAAAGCTTAACAGCTAATTTAATGAAGTTACCTCAAACAAAACCTGAAAATTAACTTAGGCTTAGCATCTTTTTCTTTTGGACTTTTTATTTTGATTCCATAAATCACACGAATAACTTTAGGGAATACATCGTTTTAAACTCGTATTTTGTATAAATTTGCAAAAAAAAAAAGTGCAGAAAAGTAAAATTTTTGAAAACATTTCAGCGTTTTGTGGAGATGACAATGTTGGTGCACTTTTTATTCAGCAGAATCTGAAAGAGTTTTACAAGCAACAACAGATTCAGCTGCTGCAGCAGCAATCCTGCAACAAGATTAAAAAGGTAACACACACACACACACACACACACACACACACACACACACACACACACACACACACACACACACACACACACACACACACACACACACACACACACACAGGCAGTCATGTTTTTGACTGTGGGAGGAAGCCAGAGAGGGGTGGCGGTGGCACAGGGAGAACATGCAAACTCCATGTAGGAAGACCCCAGGTGGGGATTTGAAATCCAGAGCATCTTTGGATAAAACACAGTTTTGTTTAGAGGCCCGGTTCATGAGCTCCTTCTCCTTGTTTCTTTTTGAAGTGTTTTATTCTGATCTGTTCTCCATCCTGCAGCCTCCTGCTCAGCAGCTGGTGTTCCAGCAGCTCCTCCACCTCCAGCAGCAGCAGCAGCATCTCCAGGCTCACAGACTAGCACCATCTGCTCCAAGCCTTTCTGCAGGTTCTACATAGAAAGCTACTTTCATTTCCAGTAATAACCTCCTTTATGAGTTGACAGACATAAATTAACTCTATCGTGCACATTTGATCATCTGTTAGCTCTGAACCCTGCAGAGATGCAGCAGATCTGGAAGGAACTCAAATCTGAAATGGCTGAAGAAAAGACCACAGTGAAGACACATCAGGACTTTGATAAAGTCAGAGGGGGACAGGCCAGTGGTCTTCTGTCTTTGTCTCCACACAGGGCAGAGCGGTAAGATCTGGCAACAAAATACATCCCTCAGACGATGCCATCTTTCTGTAAAACACACAAAAAAACCACATCAAAGACTCCTCGCCTTCAGACGTTTCTTTTCCCTCTCTAAGCGGAGACGTTTGTTTTCCAGGCCTGGATGTGATTCCCTCTGGGAAAGGTGTTTGTCTGCTTTGTGCGGCACCTCCAGAGGAGGTTCGGTTAAACAAAAAGTTTACACGACTAGAACATGTTCCAAATCAAAAGTAAACAGTTTTTTGTTTATTTTTTGGCACTTCTTCAGTCGTGTCACGTCGCCTGCAGAGAAAACACAAATCCCTCTCATGTTAGCTGTCTTTTATAGATGGATGCTTCCTCTCTCCTTCTCCTCCTCCTCATTTAGCTCTTCTAATGGAGACAAAGCTGCTGCACGCGTACTCTTTGGTCATGGTGTTTGCAACTGGCCCGGCTGTGAGTCGCTCTGTGAAAACATCAGCCAGTTCATCAAGTAAGGAAAAATAAACTTTGTTCTGAAGGATGTTCACATTTTTTATTACCATTATCTATTTTTTATTATATATTATTTCACGCTATCGGTTTGATCTATCAAATATATTTTACTGTGTTTGAATGTAGCACCCCAGAGGAGATAGATCTTGTAGTCTGCAGGGCGTGGTCCTTTTAAAATAGAGTTGAAGACTCATTTATTGAGACAGGCTGTTAACTAGGTCTACGTTGATTTATTTTATGTTTATTTATGAAAGTATTATTTGTATTTATATAGTTTTGGTGAAACACCTCAGTCCTGTGAAGGGTGCCACACAAAGTTTTCTTTTTTTCAGACATTTTCAGATGTTTTAGTCTTCCAGAACGCATCGGAAACAAACGCTTGGTCACCCAGCATCATTTTTTGACGCTTCGGGTGTGAGAATGTGTTGCATCATAACAACAATTTAAAGGGGCATTATGGAAGTTTGACAGCCAAAACATGTATAGAAATAATAAATTTCTTCTTCATCCTGCAATGCCCTGGTCCTGTAGAATGAGCCCTGGCATTTTTACTGTGATTGTCTGTTTTTCTGTAAAATCACAGAAAAAGAGAGCTGCTCGGGTCGAGCAGGCTGCTTCATGCGCGTTCGCGCTCAGGCATCGCCCGTAGCATTTGCTATCCGTAGCTTTAGCAGCAGAGAATGAGGTAGTGCCAACTCAGCGACTTTGTCGCTGTTCCTAACGCCTAGTGATGAACCTAGCTACATTTCTGAGGACCCTTAGCTACTTTCTTCTAGATATTTCCTGCAAATTAGCAACAAAATAGTCATTTTCGCTCCAAACTGTTCTTTGAACGTTGTTTCAGCTGTCATCAAGGATATAAATATTACAGATACTAAAGATGTCATTGGTGCTATGGCTCACCTAGTAAGACATTGGACTGTTGTGCAGAAGACCTGGGATCAATTCTGGATGTGAACATAGTTTATTTAGAGTTTCTTTTTTACATTAATGGTATATTTTTTTACAGTAAGATGCCCAAATTTTTACTTAAGGCTCGCCGAACGGCATTGAATTCACAGATAAAAAAGATGTGGGTTCAACTTTCATTTTGGAACAATTTTTCAAGCAAGGGAAGGGAATGATCTGAGCATGCAGGAGGACTGACCCATCTTAAACTTTTTTCGGCTGTGCTGAAGAGAAAGGTACAGAACCAAATTATTTAATTAATTAGCTGCACGTTCTCCTGCCCCCCCCCCCCCCCCCCCCCCACACACACACACGGGACTGTCTCAGCTGTTATTTTCGTTAAGGAGTGTGCACGTACAGCATGCGCGCCTCGTGCACGAGCCTACTATTGAAGCTGCCGTTACGCTTTTGGCCTGAGGGGGCAATCGCGAGCATAAAAATTCAAAACTCCGTAAAGTCCCTTTAAAGGTGCAATAAGTAAGAATTTTACAGTAAAGAATCACAAAACAGTCTAATATATCAATCATTTTGGAAGGAAGGTTACACAGAAACAGATTTCTCTCTCACCCGGCTGGGTGGTTACTGTTTACAATTTGTCTTGCCTCCCTCCATACTTCCTGGTTCCAGAGCCAATCATATGTAAACACTGTGCTGACGTTAGTAGTTCAACACTGACAATGAGCAGCAGTGTTGTGGAACAAATGTTAGCCAGTAGAGCGGCGCTGAAGCAAAAGAGTTTAACAACTTGGTTTTACTCTAACATCAGCTACAGAAGGCTAGAGGCTAACATTGAGCTAACAATGCTAACAGTGAATTACAAGCAAATAGTTGGCTCTAACAATATCTCAAGCTACTTTTTTCAATTACCAACAACTTGATGTTATAATGAAATTTATTTATCCACACGTTAACTTGCTGTGCGTGACTCGTCTTCACTCATCATCTAGAATCTTCTGCTGCTGATCCGTAACTGGCAACAGTTGCTCAGAGCGGACTCTTTGTTTGGATACATAAACTGCAGTACCCAAATTTGACCATAGGATGTCAGTCTTACGTCATGCACCATGAACAGCAGACATGAAATTGAGTCATGACCTCTACTAACATTAGCTAAGCAGGAAAATCAGTAACAGGATAGTGGTTTTATTTTACTGTTTAATATTTAAATGCATGACTTTGTCTTTGTTTTATAAAATATAAATTAGAAATTTTGCAATAAGTCAGAAAATGTTTAGGAATTTTTGCCAAGTCTAAATATGTTTTTGTGTGGTTTCATTCCAGAAAAATTGCTTTCAGTTGTGATTTCTTTCATGATAAATGAGCCGGCAGCTGAAGTCATCTGCAACGCTGATGCATTTGTATTTTTAGGCACCTGAGCAGTGAACACACTCTGGATGACAGAAGCACGGCTCAGTGCCGAGTCCAGATGCAGGTGGTTCAGCAGCTGGATCTCCAGGTGAGTGTGAGAATAGGTACAGAGCTCACAGGGCTCTTGAGTTTGTTTATTTTAGACTGCTAAAGAAAACATTTTAAATTCTCATCAACTTTCAGGTCTTTATTTGGCCAAAGGAAATTATTCATTGATCGTGAGTTACTTGACTACAAATGGCTTTGATATAAAACAGATAATAAACAAATCCATACTAGTTTATTTATGATTTCCCAAAGTTTCATTGTCTAAACCAGGGGTGGACAACTATCCAGCATTTTTTTTACTTGTTTCCCAGTTCCAGCACATTTGATTCACCTGCTTAGCAGCTCACCAAGATCTGCAGAAGCCTGTTAACCAGCTGCTGATTAAAATGAGGTATGTCGAAGCAGGGAAACAAATAAAACATGCTGGATAGCGGCCCTCGAGGACCAGGATTGCCCATGGTCTAAACCCCTCAAGCTGGCGACAATTTGTTTTTGTTTAAATGTGTCAGGTTGGCTTTTACTTTTATGCTCCTTATTCCACAAAAGTTTTTTCCCAGCAATGTTGTTTCATGTTTTAACAGCTCTGCAAAGAACGGAAACGTCTGCAGGCGATGATGGCTCACCTGTATTTACCTGCTTTAGATGCTCCGTCACCAAAATCCAATTCAGCTGCTGACCCTCGCTGCCCGCAGGTAGATGGTGTGCAGCGACCCTTAAAGAGTGTGAAAGCCTAGAATATGAATGTGTGGCTGGACCTCCATCTCCTCCAGCTGTGATAGAAATGGTGCCGCGTCATAACTGACCAGACTTTTACCACAGTTGGATGGTTTTCAGAAACTTGCTGGTATTTTTCACAGAAACAAACAGAATCAGAAAACAAATTCTTTCTACACAACGATGGCCTGAAAAAAAACTTTCTCTTTGACCTCTCAAACACTCTGACCTTCTCCTTTTCTTCAGCCCCTCATATGATGATGATGATGATGACGATGAAGAAAATGAGCACTTCTTACAGCTGTTGCCACCAGATGGACGCTGTTCTGTTTTTCATGCTCCAACAATCATTTATTAGTCTTGTGAATATTGAACCCTTATCACAAGGCTCACCAAACAATTTCACCCTGTAATTGACAATAATTGGCTTCCTTAATTTTGGGGTGTTGGTGGAAGAAGCTCCGAGGAGGCAAACCAAATCGCTCCGTCACACTCGATTATCCGACTTTGTTTGCTTTCTGTCTCGTTGGTTCCTTTGTTAACTTGCATGATTTGCTTTTAGCTGCAACCAGTGACACTCGCTAACACATCACCCTGCCTGAGGTCCCAGGCATCCCCCCAACCAGTGGACCCAGTCAGCTCCCCCTCCCAGGTGTGTGAACAGGAGTCACCCACACACACGTCTCCACTTGGGGCTGTGAGACGCCAGGATTGCCCCTTGGTGTTCTCTCTGTCTTCAGGTAAAATCGCTGCTGTTGTCTGTTATAAAGAGAGATCACAGATTACCTGTTTCCATTAATACATTTTTGTTTTTCCAGAAAACGAATACGAGCTTTATAAGAATACAGAGATTAGGCCACCGTTCACCTATGCAACGCTGATTCGACAGGTGTGTGTTTTTATTATTCAGTTTTGAATCTCCATCAAAAACGAATGTTATCATAATTCCTATCATATCATAATCATAATAGGTGCAGTCTGAAATGTTTTTCTGGAGAATTTGTTTGACTTATTGAACACATATTGAAACACACAAACCCTGGAAAAACCTCATCTAATCATTCTTAAAGATGTGGTTTACTCATTTATTTAATATATCTGCAGTGTTCTCTAGTGTGAATCAATGCTTTATGAGTCATTAAAAAACAATATGATGCCCCTGTTCTGAGATGCATAAGTTTGCTTGTTCAGAAGTGGGCTGAAAACAGCAAGATTACTCATTGTTATTAATGATACGCACACACCTCGCTTCTGATTGGCTAACAGAGCACGTTCAGCCATGTTGCAAAGTTACTATCACCAGAAAACTCTCCACTCTCTGTCCTTGCTGCAAATTAAAAAAAAAAAAAGCCTTCCTGTTGGCGGGCGCAAGCCAAGATGGGCGAGACCATGAATGCAAATTCACAGTGTGACATAGATATGTGGGGATTTTCAAATCCTAGCATTTCACCGTCTATTTTCTATCAGCAGTTAATGCAGGAGATACGTGTAGGAGACTGTTTTCATGTTCAGCCTGCATGAAAAACTCAGAATGACCAAAAATAATCAGAAATAATAATTAAACTTTTTTTTCAGTCAACCACACCTTTAGGGATAGGAATGTAACTCGTGCATGACCCGGAGAAGGCATTCTACCGTTTACCGATGCAAGACCATGGTCTCGGATTTAGAGGAGGTGATTCTCATCACAGCTGCTTCACACTTGGCTGTGAACCGCTCCAGCAAAACCCATAGATCATGTTCTGATGTAGAAAACAGGAACCACATCATCTGCAAAAGCAGAGACCTGATCCTTTGGCCACCAAAACGGATTCCCTCACCCCCTTGGCTAGAAATCCTGTCCATAAAAGTTATGAACTGAATCAGTGACAAAGGGCAGCCTTGGAGGAGTCCAACTCTCACCTGAAACAAGCCCGACGTACTGGCGGCCATGCTCTCAACACCTTCTCCAAATCCACAAAACACATGTGGATTGGTTGGGCAAACTTCCATGCACCCTCCAGGATCCCCGTAAGGGTGTAGAGCTGGTCCAGTGTTCCACGGCCAGGACAAAAACCACATTGTTTCTCCTGAATCCGAGGCTCAAAAATCCGTTGGACCCTCCTCTCCAGAACCCCCGATTACCACCCTGGTTTGTCAGTCCAGTGAAACTGCCCCTGATGTCCACACGATACTGCGGAGCTGCGTCAGCCAAGACAACCCTACAACTTCCAGAGCCTTAAGGAAATCCGGGCGGATCTCATCCACTCTCAGAGCCTGGCCACCGACAATGTTTTTGACCACCTCAGTAACCTCAGCTCCAGGGATTGGAGATCCCAACTCAATGTCCCGGAACTCTGCTTCCTCACTGGAAGACATGCTGGTGGGATTGAGGAGGTCATCAAAGTACTCTGCCCACTGATCCAAAACATCTCGAGTAGTGGTGAGCAGCACCAACAGTGTTGGTAGCACACTGCTTTCCCTCCTGAGATGCCAGATGGTGGACCAGAATCTCCTCAAAGCTGTATGGAAGTCTTGTTTCATGGTCTCACTGGACTTCTACCACACCTGAGATTTTGCCTTCGTGACCACCTGAGCCACATTCTGCTTGGACTGCCAGTACCCATGAGCTGCCTCTGGAATCCCACATGCCAAAAAGACCCAATAGTACTCTTTCTTTAGCTTGACGGCATCCCTAACCGTCGATGTCCACCAGCGGGTTCTGGGGTTGCCACCAAGATAGGCACCGACCATCCTGTGTATCTACAGTATCAAAAGCTTTGGCCAGGTCTAAGAACACCCCTACAGCATATTGTTTTTTGTCAAGTGCATCAGATATTTTCTCCACTAGATCAACAATTGCCAGAGAAGAAGTCCGATCACATCTAAAACAATGTTGCTGTTCACAAAGAATACAATCTTTTATGAAATATTGTTTCGAGTATTTTGGAGAATTGAGATAAAATAGAAATTGGTGTGTAATTAGAAAAGTCATGTTTGTCTCCAGCCTTATAGACAGGAATGACCTTTGCAACCTTCATCCTTTCAGGAAATCTTCCTGATTGGAGAGACTGATTACAAATATGTGTAAGTGGTTTGGCTATAGTCTCAATGATTTCTTGTACAACAGATACATCAAATCCATGCAAATCTGCTGACTTTTTCCTTTTACATTTTTAACAAGTGTTAAAACTTCATTTTCATTTGTGCCTTGAATAAATAAGGTTTTATATACATTTATTTTACTTACAACATCAGCATCTAATTTAGTATTTGCTATATCCTTTGCCAAATTTGGCCCAGATAATTAATTAAAATACTTATTGAATTCATTTGCTATTTTTTTAGACAGATACATTTTTTGATTGTCTTGTTAGAAAAATATTTGGAAAACTATTAGTGCCACTACCCTTTTTCATTATATCAAAATATAATATTTTTTATTATTACTGTTGTTGCTCACGTGAGCGTTAAAGTCCCCCAAGAAAACGATGGAGGACCAGAAAGATCCCCCTCCAGCACCCACTCCAGTCACTCCAAAAGGGGTGGGTAGTCTGAGCTGCAGTTTGGTGCATAAGCACAGTCAGGACCCGTCCTCCCACTCGTAGGTGTTCACCGGGGTAAAGCCCAACATACAGGCACCAAGATGGGAGGCAACTAGTATGCCCAACCCTGCTTGGCACCTCTGAGTGGGGGCAACTCCAGAGTGGTAGTGTCCAACCCCTCTCAAGGAGCATGGCTCCAAAGTCAGAGCTATGTGTCGAGGTGAGTCCAACTATGTCTAGTCAGAACCTCTCAACCTTGTACACCAACTCAGGTTCTTACCTCACCAGAGAGATGACATTCCACAAACCAAGAGCTAGCTTTTATAGCCAAGGATCAGATCGCCCAGGTCCCCGCCTTTGGCTACCACCCATCTCTCACTGCACCCATTTCCTTTGGCCACTCCCATGAGTGGTGAGCCCATGGGAAGAGAGTCCTCTCTTCGGACTGTAGCCGGCCAGGCTCAATGGGTGAAAGCCCGGCCACCAGGCACTCTTTTGGGCCATTCCCATCGGTACCGGGTCGGTCCGGGCCGGGTAGCCCCAGTCGGCCCCAGCCTGGCCCGGTTGATTCCACACATCCTTGTCTTAAGTCCATGTGGGCTGATTCTACCCACCAATCAGAGGCTTGCTCTAATGGAAGGTGTGAATTTGCTGTCAGCAGTGGGTGTGTTGGCCCTGGTTGGCCTGAAGCAGACCCCCTCGAGAAGAGGGCTGAGAATGAGCCTTGGTTGGCCCGGAAAAATACCAGGCCACCCAGATATGTAAACAACCTACGCTACCTACGCTAAAAATTGAGCGTTTGTGGAAGAAAACCCATCTTCACGTCCATCTGCTGCACCTAAAGGATCTTCTGACATCCTTTAACTCTGCAGTCAGAGACGCTAGGGTTTCCTATTTCTCCAACCTGGTGTCCCAGAGCAAAGGGAACCCCAAGGTGCTGTTTAACACCATCAGCAGCATCGTGTCTCCTGCCTCTCCAACAGCCTCCATCCACTCTGTTACAGACTGTGAGAACTTTCTGTCTTTCTTTGTGGACAAAGTCAATAAGGTTAGATCTAGCATCTCTCCTTCAGTCTTATCGCTGCCTCTCCCGACTCCAACCAGGCCCGTCATCCTAGATAGCTTTGCTCCTGTTTCTTTGCCTGAGTTAACCAAACTAGTTCACTCTATGAAGACCTCTGCATGCCCCCTCGACATCTTACCCTCATCTTTGTTTAAAAGTGCTTTTCAGTCCATCGGTCCCAGCGTGCTCTCTATAATTAATGCTTCTCTGGTCTCTGGTCAGGTCCCTGCTTACTTTAAGAATGCTGTAATCCACCCGCTTCTTAAAAAACCGAGTCTCGACCCCTCTCTCCATAGCAGCTTCAGACCCATCTCTAAACTTCCGTTCATCTCCAAGATCTTGGAAAAGGTTGTGGCTAAACAACTCACAGCTGCTCTTGATGAACATAACATCTATGATTGCTTCCAGTCAGGTTTTCGTAGAGCTCATTCTACTGAAACAGCTCTTCTTAGGGTCTCTAATGACCTTCTGACTCACAGTGATGCAGAGGACTGTTCTGTTCTGGTCCTACTGGACCTGACTGCAGCCTTTGACACTGTTGACCATCACCTGCTACTGGAGAGGCTCAGAGACTGGGTAGGCCTATCAGGATCTGCTCTGGAGTGGTTCTCCTCTGATCTTTCTGAGCGCTCCTTTTCTGTGGCCGTCTCCAAGTTTAGGTCCTCCACCATTTCCCTTACCCATGGTGTCCCACAAGGTTCTGTGCTGGGGCCTCTGCTTTTCCTCCTCTATCTGCTTCCTCTTCAGCACATCCTGAGCTCCTTCAAAGGAATCTCCTACCATCTTTACGCAGATGACATCCAACTGTACATCTCCTTTAAGCCCCATGAGATGTCTAAGCTGCAGCTGTTACACACCTGCTTAGACTCTATTAAAACCTGGATGGCTGGGAGCTTTCTTCAGCTGAATGAAGATAAGACTGAGATCCTCATCTGTGCCCCAGACAAGCTGGTTCCCAAAGTCAGAGACTCTCTTGGTCAGCTTGCTTCCCACATCAAACCTTCTGTCAGGAATCTTGGCATGACCTTTGACCCAGCTCTCACCCTGGATTCTCATGTCAGTTCTCTTGTTCGCTCTTCCTTCTTCCATCTCGGGAACATTGCTAAGCTGAGTCCCATTCTGTCCCGCTCTGAACTTGAGACAGTTCTCCACACCTTCATCTCCTCACGCTTAGACTACTGTAACTCTCTTTTCACGTGTCTGAGCAGAACCTCCCTGAACCGTCTACAGGTGGTTCAGAATGCCTGTGCTCGGCTTCTGATCAAGTCCTCCAAACACACCCACATCACCCCGCTTCTCCTCCAGCTTCACTGGCTGCCAGACAACTCCAGGGTTCATTTCAAGATCCTGGTTCTGGTCCATAGGGCCCTACATGGACAAGCACCATCTTACATTGGTGATCTTCTTAGTCCCTACACCCCCAGCAGGTCCCTGAGGTCCAGTGATCAAAGCCTACTGGTTGTGCAGCACCAGGCTAAAGGTCAAAGGTGACAGATCATTTGCTGCTGTGGCCCCCAGACTTTGGAACTCTCTCCCCCTGAGCCTGAGATCAGTGGACTCAGTGGTCTCCTTCAAAAGGCAGCTGAAGACTCACTTGTTCAAGCTGGCTTTTGTATGACCTTCTTCACCACTCTCTCTTTATTCTGCTCTCCCCACCTATTCCACCTTCCTCAGGATCCACTGATTTCCCTCTTTCCTATTCACTCTCTCTCTTTCTTTACATTTTTTCTTTTAAATCGCAATAGCTTATTCTTGCTCATTTTAAATATATTTTAAACATTTTCTAAATGCTTTTTTATATTTTTACAATTTTTTTTTATTTTTTGTTTTTGTGAAGTGCCTCGTGATTTTTATCTTGAGAGGCGCTATAGAAATGATATTTTCTTCTTCTTCTTCTTCTACCTGGCCCGGGCCGACCCGGTACAGATGGGAGTGGCCCAATTGATGTGCCCCAACTCCCGCCTGGCTCCAGAGAGGGGGTCCTGCGACCCACATCCAGGCGAGGGAACACAGTTTGCACATATATTGATCATCAGACGGGGTCTGTGGGCTGCACTTTGTCTGATCCCTCACCTAGAACCTGTTTGCCATGGGTGACCCTACCTGAGGCACAAAGCCTCAGACAACTTAGCTCCTAGGATCATTGGGACACTCAAACCCCTCCACCACAGTAAGGTGGCTTATAATAAAAAAAAATATACTGACACCATAATAACTAATAGAACATCATTCAGAGGGTAATGCTTATTGCAGTTTTGTATTTGGGTCTTATTTGTGAAGCATGTTAGCAAAACATTTGACCCAATATTAAATATTAAATGAGAACAAGTCAAATCAAACAAAAAACAAATCCTAAATGTTGAGTTTTTTTTAAATCCCCTCATACATGAGACACAAATAATTCTTGTCAGTAATTGTATCCTATTACGGTATTAACATTTTTTCCCCTTTTTCCTCTCCAGGCCATAACGGAGGCATCAGACACACAGCTGACTCTCAATGAGATCTATAACTGGTTCACAAGGACGTTTGCTTATTTCAGAAGCAACGCTGCCACTTGGAAGGTAGCAGATAAATTAAATTTGTCACAGCTGATTTATGCTACATTCATTCTGTAACACCTGTAATGTCCTGCTGCTTCAGAACGCAGTTCGCCACAACTTGAGCCTCCACAAGTGTTTTGTGCGTGTGGAGAACGTGAAAGGGGCTGTGTGGACGGTGGATGAGGAGGAATACCAGAGGAGACGGTCACAGAGGATCACAGGGTATCAAAACACTATAAGAGATGGAAGAACGTAAAACTGTTGAAGAAAACAAAATACTGGTAAGGCAGCAGCAAGATTATACAGGAACATGCCGAGAGCTGGAAATGTTGAGAAAAGTAGGATCCTTCTCAGCGTGAAAACTGGGGAGTATTTCTACAGGGAGAGGTGATGGGCTGGGCTAATTAGCCTAACCGACAAACAGTAACATGAGTGTTTTTATCTTCGTTGACTTGCGTTCATATTTTCATTCTTCCGAGGACCCATGGTCCAGAAGTAGATGGGTGTGATTTAGGCTCCTCCTTATTGACAGAGGTGGAAAGTAACAAATTACATTTACTCGCTTTACTGTAATTGAGTAGGTTTTTTGTATATTTATACTTTTTAAGTCGTTTTTAAAATCTGTACTTTTACTTTTACTTGAGTACATTTTTAAAAAAGAATTGTAATTCGCTACATTTTAAATCATGTCCGTTGCTGAGTAAAAATAAATCATAGGCTTAATAAATTAAAAATATTGCCTGTAGCAGCGTCGGAACCGAAAGAGACACCTACATGATCGCCGCGTCTAAATGGGGGGGGGGGGGGGGGGGTACACTTCTGCTCCAAAACATCAGTTCAGTTCCTGTGATCCACTCGCTGTTCACCTCATCTCTCCCTCCTCTCCTGTGGGTTGGAACCAGCACCTTCACGCACCGGTGTGACATCATCACAATTCCACTCTGTTCGGTAACCAGACTCGGTTCCGTGTTTGAAATGTGTTTCCCTACCGCTCCACACGGAAGAGGCAAAATAACGTTTAGCGCTCATAACAAGTGGATTATCAGCGCTATGCTCATAAAACAGAAGACCTGCAGGCCTCTGTGAGTTAAAACATCCTGATACTGTTCGGTGTAAACGTTGTGCTCCATCCCTGTGTTTGAACTCAGAAGATGCTTCTTGATGCCACAGATATGTGATGATTTAGCTTGTTTCTTTATTTTACTCCAGAATAAGAGATTAAATTATTACAAAAGCAGTTCAATGTAGTTCAATTAGTCATTCAAAAGATTCTAACATGCTGCTGCTGTGTGTGTGTGTGTGCGTGTGCGTGTGCGCGCGCACACACACGAGCGTGTTGTGAACTGGTGGTGTGGTTTTGCACTGATGTAACCATCTTTATGCTGACAAAAATGTAACTAAGTAACTTTTACTTTGAGTACATTTTATTTATGATACTTTTTACTCTTACTTGAGTAAAAATTTAGGCAAGTACTTTTACTTGTACTTGAGTAAAAAATTATCAAAGTATTGGTACTCGTACTTAAGTAGGAAATTTTAGTACTCTTTCCACCTTTGCTTATTGAGATGTTTATGAAGTGCTAAAGGAGCTAGGGATTTCTGAAGTTTGAGTGAAGATTTAGTCATGATTTGAGTTGAGTCTTGTGTGTTCTCCTGTGACATTTTTATTCTTTTGTAACATTAAAATGTTATATTTTGTATTTCTGTTGTGATGTAAAGGGCAAAACCATTTTTTTTTATCTTTTTGATTCTGATTAGAATCGGTCACTGTGAGTTTTTCATGAAGACTAAACATGAAAATAGTCTCCTACACCCATCTCCTGCATTAGCTTCTGATAAATAAAATCTACAATTTGAAAGTCCTGAAAAATCGATGTTGCACTGTCGCTTAAAGTTCATGGACTCGCCCATCTTGGCTCACAACAGGAAAGGCTGTTCTTGGTTTAGCTTTTAGTAAAATCTGTTCGACTTCACCACATGGCAGAACTCCTTCAAGCGTTTGTTACTTTTGGAGATAAAACATCAACATGGCAGAGCAAACAGAGTCAGTGGTGGAGTTTCATTGCTGTTAGCCAATCAGAGGTGAGATGCTCAAACATCATGAATTTTAACGAGTAAGATGCTATAAATCCTACCGTTTTCTGCCGCCCACGCTTCTGGCTAACTCCTACTTCCTGAAACAGGAGCACCAGAGCTTGTTTTCCACAGACAACGACTCACAAGGCATTTATTCATACTAGAGATTATATGGCATTTATTGGAATAAAGAGTGTACTTTAAATTAAAAACCTAAAACATTTTCTAGATCCGGCAGGTTTCTGTAAACAAAAACAGTTCCAAGTTGCACAGAATTAAACGTTTCAGTGTAGGAAGGTGGTGTCCTCATGGGCAGGACACCAGGTTCTCAGGAGGTTAAATAACTCTAGGATGCCAACGAACAAAGTGCAACAGATCCAGAGTGAAACTCACGAGTTAAACTTTAGACAAAACTAAGATTTTTCATTGAGCAAGTCAGATAAGAGGAAATGTCTAACGGTCTCAGGTCTGATCACATTCATTTGTCTTGTTCTGATTAAATTTAACTTCTATCTGCAGTAAAACTAGATTTTCTTTTGGTTTCCCTACAGGAGTCCGTCGCTGATGAAAACTGTATCCTCCAACTTTGCTTCAGGGAACTCTTTACATTCTACCTTACAGGTGAGATGCTGGCGACGAGTAGCTTCCAGAAGTCACGAATAATCTCTGATCATGAGGTTTGATTATTGGTTGGTTGTATATTTGTAGGCCGCTCTGGCTGAAACTTCACTATCAGGCTTCAAGGAGAGAGGGAGCAGAAACGTTAGGAGTCAGACACAGAAGAACGAAGGAGCAGAGAAGCCCAAGTTTTCTCCTCAAATCCAGCAGTGAGTTCAGCTTGTTGCAAAGTTCAACAGTTTATGAAATGATGCAAAAGCTTATAAAAGTTCATTCTTGACTTCATGCAGGCAGCTTTACTTTGAAGATGAAGAGGTGAAAGTGAACGTCCGAGAGTGTCTGCTGCCGATACTGGAACCAGTCGGTCTGCAACCAGACATGACTGGAAGCCAGGAGGAGACTTCATTTGACCTCAAATAACCTTTTATGGTTAATTTTTCCTTTGCATGAATAAATAAAACAAGCCTTCACCGACTGTTCAGAGATGACAGCAATGCAGCTGCACTATGCTTTCATTTAGATGCCTGATACCAGCAGGAAGAATGGAAAATCATTTCATAAAACTTCTTCATCTCATTTAAAATTCATAGATAACCAGAGTAAATAAAAAAAATGTAAATTTTAGATGATGGTTTAATTTATATAGGGAAACAAACTCCAGAATAACCTAAACCTGATAACTGGCTGCACATCTGAACGAGTTTCCAACAGCTCTTTGGAGGAAATTTGTCCTACTTTTACAGGATTATCTGAATTCAGCCACACGGGAGGGGTTTCTTGCAAGAATGATCTGTTTAGGGTCAAAGGTCAGACGATCTCTGGCAGAGAGCAGAACTTATGGTTCCATCAATTACAGCAGGCTGTCCTGGTGCAGCAAAGCAGACCCAAACCATCACACTACCACCTCTGTGTTTGAACGCTGCCATGATGTTTTCAGAAAATGCGGCTTTTCACCAGTTTTACATCAGATATGCCAGGATACTCACCTTCCAGAAAGTTCCACTTTTATCTCATCAGTCAAGATTTTCCCAGAAGTCTGGGGTGCATTCAAGATGGTAGTTGTGAGATGGGACTTTTGGGTCAGGAGAGGAACTTGGACTCACACGAGTCCACTTTTATTTCATGATTTAGAGAACATTTACGTTTTTACACAGAGCCAAGTTGGTTTGGATCGTTTTGTTCCTTTAATAAATTAAACCACCATTCAAAAACTGATTTTGCACTTCAACTTTCACTCTGGTTATTTTAGTCTGATACTGAAATTTGTTTTCCAATATTAATTAAATTAGAGATATTTTTTTCTCCATTAAAGAAAATCTGCTCCTTAAATGAGGAAAAATGCAACATTTGGGACAAAGAATGTAGAAAAAGGTTGTGTTGTGACTTAAAAAAAACTTAATATCTGTAAGTAATTCGAGGAAAACACACTTTTATTAAATAAATGTACTTTTTCCCTAGACAGACATGTTTAAAATGAAGGTTTTTATTCTCTGTGGTTGTTTTAGGATAAGCATTATGTCAATGTTGAACGTTTATAATATGTTGTTCTTCCTACTTGTTATCTACAAATGCACTGTAACAATCTCCAAAGTAATATAATGTACACAGTGGTGGGTTTTTCTAGTTTACTATTAATTTATAATTAGAAAAAATATTTGCAATATTTGTTTATATAAGTCATGTCTTCACCGTAGATCACATCTGATGTGTGTACAATGTTTGTGTCTGCAGCTAGACTAGAAACTAGAAACCCTTAATTAAACAATAGAAAACACGTTTTTGTTGTTATGTGGTGAAGTCACTGTTAGTGAAAACATGCATGCCAAGGTAACGAACACCAGCTCGCCATGACCCTGCTCAGGAATATGTGGTTACAATGAAAGTTGTAGATAGCTCAATGAATTGCCTTAGTTTAGAGAAATGGGGATGACTTTTGGGGTGGATCAACAAGGCAGACGCAGTTACCACAGGGTTCATTGCTTGGACCAATTCTTTTTACTATATATATGCTCCCAACTGGTAAAATCATTAGACAGCATGGGATAAACTTCCACTGTTATGCTGACGATACTCAGTTATATTTATCCATTAACCCTGATGAACCTAATCGGTTGGGTAGATTACAGGCTTGTCTTGAGGACATAAAAAATTGGATGACTCTGAACTTTTTGCTTTTAAATCAAGACAAGACGGAAGTTCTCATCTTTGGACCAGAAATCCAGAAAAGGAAATTGCTTAGCCAATCGCCTGACCTTAATGGCATTACATTAATCTCCGAGAACAAAGCAAGGAACCTTGGTGTTATCTTTGACCAGGACATGTCATTCAAATCCCAGGTTTCACAAGTTTGTCGGATTTCCTTTTTCCACCTTCGGAATATTCCTAAGATTAGAAGCATACTTTCCAGGAGTGATGCTGAAAAACTAGTTCATGCATTTATTACATCAAGACTGGATTACTGTAATTCATTACTCTCAGGAAGTCCACAGAATGTAGTTAAAAGTCTTCAGCTTGTCCAAAATGCTGAAGCTAGAGTTCTGATGAGAATTAAAAAGAGAGATCATATCTCTCCTGTCTTAGCTTCCCTACACTGGCTACCTGTTAAATTCAGAATAGATTTTAACATCCTTCTTCTCACATATAAAGCTCTTAATAATCAAGGTCCATCATACATCAGCAATCTGATTGTTCCATATGTTCCTAACCGAGCACTTCGCTCTCAGACTGCAGGTCTACTGGTGGTTCCAAGAATATCTAAACTTAGGATGGGAGGCAGATCTTTTAGTTATCAAGCTCCTCTCCTGTGGAACCAGCTCCCAGCTTTAGTCCGTGAGGCAGACACTTTGTCTACTTTTAAGAATAGGCTTAAAACATTTTTATTTGATAGGGCCTATAATTAAAATCTGATGTTAGCCTAAATCTGGACAAGTGGGGGAGTAGAGGGAGGTGGAGTGTACAGTCGGTAAAGACGGCTCTCCCTTGCCCTGACTCCAACATGCCTACATCTAAAAAGGATAGATTATCCAGAGTTAACTCTGTAGTTATGCTGCTATAGGCTTAGACTGCTGGAGGACACACTGACCACTTTTCACACTCTACTGCTTTATTCTACAGTCTGCTCTTTAACTGTACTATTTTGTGCAATTTCAGCTGTTAACTTTATTTTCTCTGTAAGTGTTTTTCTCCCCAGAAGAAGCTACAATGACGTTCTGCTGAGCTGTGGTGGCCTCATAGAGGGGGCCATCGACTAGCACACTGCTGCTAACCACTAATACATTCTCTCTCTCCTGATAATAACTTTTTGTTTTCATTGACTTTTGATGTGCTACTACTTGTTTATCCGTTTAATTATAGATCCACTAGGATAAATACAATAAAGTTTATCTTTCACCAAATACAATATTTACTAACACTTCACAATATAACTATAGACACATTACGTGTGTGTGTGTGTGTGTGTGTGTGTGTGTGTGTGTGTGTGTGTGTGTGTGTGTCTGTGTGTCTGTGTGTGTGTCTGTGTGTGTGTGTCTGTGTGTGTGTGTCTGTGTGTGTGTGTGTGTGTCTGTGTATCTGTGTGTGTGTGTGTGTCTGTGTCTGCTCTGTCTTCTCGATCCCCAGTGAGTCGTGGAGGATGGCTGCTTATACTGAGTCAGGATTCTCTGGAGGTTTCTTCCTGTTAAAAGGGAGTTTTCCTCTCCACTGTCGCTGCATGCTTGCTTAGTATGAGGATTGCTGTATACTCACTGACACTAGTCAGTGACTTGATGCAATTTGCTGGGTTCCTTATATAGGAAACATTATTTCTGATTGGCTTAATGAACTGTGAATTGGAATGTTTATTATGTGAAGTGCCTTGAGACGACTCTTGTCGTGATTTGGCGCTATATAAATAAACTTGAATTGAATTGAATTGAAAGTTACAAAGTGGGTTTCTACGATGTTAAAATAAATTCACATTGGTCATCCCAATGCTGTTTTGTGAACCTTTACGCTGCTGTAAATGTACCATTTTATAATTACATCAGTAGAAACACCATGACGTTTCTACACATGTAACCAACCTACAGGCCGGCCTGCATTTCCAACACACTTCTAACATTCACACAGTGCACATGTGCACATGTTGTTCATAAATTAAAGTAAATTGTGGTGCTGCTGGTGTTCGGCAGCCTCACATCTGTCCCTGTGCCCCAGGGCAGCTGTGGCTATGTTGTAGCTCATCACCAAAATGTACAAATGTGCTCTATTGTTATGATGATGACAATGATTATTAAAAAGACAGAGAAGAAAAACATTCAACACCTTTAAAATCACACATAAAATTCCTAAACATCACATATCAGCAGTTACAGTATACAGAAAATTAAAAAAGAAACATCAAACAAAAATCAGAGACCACCTGGGTTCAAATCCCAAAGAGGGAAAATCGGTTTTAGGATTTTTTTTTAGGGACAAGCACCACCATACATTGGTGATCCTCTAAGTCCCTACACCCCCAGCAGGTCCCTGAGGTCCAGTGACCAAAGCCTACTGGTTGTGCAGCACCAGGCTAAAGACCAAAGGTGACAGATCATTTGCTGCTGTGGCCCCCAGACTCTGGAACTCTCTCCCCCTGAGCCTGAGATCAGTGGACTCAGTGGTCTCCTTTAAAAAGCAGCTGAGAACTCGCCTGTTCAAGCTGGCTTTGATGTGACCTGCGTCACCCTCTCCTTGTTCTGCTCTTTCAATTCCAGTTCCGCCCTCCCCAGGATCCACAGATTACCTCTGTCTTATTCATTTTCTCTTTACCTTTCATCACATTTTTTAAATCACAATTTTTACTTCTCCAAATTTTATAATATTTTTAATCAGTTTTTAATATATTTAATTTTTTGCATTATTATTTATTTTTTCTTGTGAAGTGCCTCGTGACTTTAATCTTGAGAGGCGCTGTATAAAAGATCATTTTGCCGTATTCTTTAGAAGGTTGGTAAATTCATTCCACAATTTGGGTCTCAGCACTGAGAAGGTTTAATAAACTCATCAACAGACCTCAGAACCCTGGTTGGAGCTCTAAGTCCCCTGAAAGGTGCTGTACCACTAACCCATTTGATTAACTAAAAACCAGAGATGTGACCAAGTCACTGCTTTGCAAGTCACAAGTAAGTCACAAGCAGGGGTGGACTAGGACGAAAATTCGGCGCTGGCAGTTCTATGAACCGTTGGCCCCTGGAGGGGTGGGGGTTGTGCGTTCCTCGCGGACTCATCCCTATGCCGCCGAACGTGAAAGCCACAAGCTGGGAAAGCGGCCCACTTGGGTGAGTGGGCCACCGGGACAGTGCCAGCATCCCAGATAGGCCAGTCCACCCCTGGTCACAAGTCAATGCAGTCAAGTCTCGAGTCAAGTCCAAGTCTAAGACAACCAAGTCCAAGTCGAGTCCAAAGACAATGATGTGGAAGTCCAAGTCAAGTCCAAGTGCTTAAGTCATAATCAAGTCATCTGTCCAATTTCTATTTAATTACAATGATAATAAATAAATTCCAGAAATAAAGCTTGTTAAAGCTTCATTTATTTGTTCAAACAAGCAGGAAGTGCATCTGAAACTGATTATAAACAAAGTGCTGCTGCATTTAGCAGTACATCAAACCCAGAACCAAGAATGATTTATGATTTTTGCCCTTGTCATGCCACTTTTGTGCTAAAATATCAAATATATGCTCAAGTCATCATCAAGTCAACAGATGCAAGTCGATTCATGTCGCAAGTCATTGACGTTCAAGTATGAGTCCAGTCGTGAGTCTTCATAGATTTTATCAAGTCAAGTCAGAAGTCATTAAAATAATGACTCGAGTCCAAGGCATGTGACTCGAGTCCACACCTCTGCTAAAACCAAAAAGTAAAACCAATAGGGCTGTGTAGAGCTTTAATTGAGTTTTTAGTGTCTGTTATGATGGTCAGGGTACAGAAACATGCAGCAGCTTGAGACTTTCCTGTGTGGTGCATGACTAGAGGTGCTGCTTTTGGGTTTTCCAAAAGGAGGAAAAGGGAGGTGACATTTCCTGAGCAGAGAGAGGGTTAAGGAGGACGGTGCACACACTCTGGAGAAAACTTTATACAGTACATCAGATCGTTTTATCAATTGTTATGGTGTAAAATTTTACTAATTTTACATATTTGCAACATAAATGTGTGAATTGTTAAAACGCTAACACTATATCTAACAGGCGATTCAAAGGGCATCACACTGTCGTCAGCAAGATGATCAGCATGGTTCACAACCATATCCAGAACAAAGGAGATCTCAGCTTCCTGTTTTTGACTGATGTCAGTAGTTGTCTGGGCTGGTAACACTCTGTCTTTTGGTTTACTGTTGCCTCTCAGGGCTTCCTTTGATTCGCCGTCAGCTTTCAGACAACATCTTCTCTGTGATTGCCGCTGCATGTGGCATGTTTGCTGACTGAAAGTTAGCATGGCGCTAGACAACTTCAACAGCTTCATTTATGTGTTGCTTTGATGTGTCGTCGGCTCTCTGGGAGGCGGGCGAGTCAACATGTTCCTGAGAAGCACGCACTTGACAGCACTTCTTCAGCAGCTCCTCCAACGTGGTCTCTGTTTGTGTTCTTATCTACATGTAAGGAAGATGCTGTCGTCCAAGGAAGCAATCACTTCTCTGAGCTTCTGCTTTTACAAAAAACAACAATAACCCAGCATGTAGTTATATTTTATGTCATAAGTGAACTATTCTGTTATTTTAAAAAATATTCATGAGTGATCAGCCAACTGAAAACAGCAGA